AACCAGTGGAACAAATTGGAGAGCCCAGAAATAAACCCATGTTTTTATTGTCAATTAACATTTGACAAAGGCAAGAACATATTTTACAATGTGGTAAAGACAGTCTCTTCAATAAATAGCACTGGGAAAATGAAACAGATATGCAAAAATAATTAAACTAGCACCTTCTTATGCTTCTGGATTAAAGGCTTAAATGTTAGCCTCAAAATCATGAAAATCCTAGAAGGAAGCATAGGCAGTAAAACCTAGGACATTTCTTGTAGCAACATTTTTTCTGATGTATCTCCTTGGGCAAAGGAAACAAAAGAAAAAATAAACAAATTGAACTACATTAAACTAAAAAGCTTTGCCCAGCAAAGGAAACCATCAACATGAAAAACAACCCACTGAATGGGAGAACATATTTGTCAATGATACATCTGCTAAGGGATCAACATCCAAAATTTATAAAGAACTTATACAACTCAACACAAAAAAAAACCAAAAAACCCAATTTTAAAAAGGGCAAAGTACCTGAAGAGACACTTCTCCAAAGAGGATACATAAATGGCCAATAGACATGAAAAGATACTCAATGTCACTAATCTTCAGAGAAATGCAAATTAAAACCTCAGTGAGATATCACCTCATACCTGTCAGAATAGCTACCATCAATAAATCAACAAACAAGTGTTGGCAAGGATATGGAAAAAAAGTATCCCTCATGCACAGCTGGTCTGAATGCAGGCTGGTGCAGCCACTGTGGAAAACAGTATGGTATTTCCCCCAAAAAATTTTTAAATGGAACTAACTGCCTTATGACCCAGCGATTCCACTTCTAGGAATATATCTTAAGAAACCCAAAATACTAATTCAAAAGAATATATGCACCCCTGTGTTCATTGCAGCACTATTTACAATAACCAAGATTTGGAAGCAGCCCAAGTGCCTATCAGTAGATGAGTGGATTAAAAAACTGTGGTAAATTTATATACAATGGAACACTATTCAGCTGTAAAAAAGAAGGAAATCTTACTTTTTGTGACAGCATGGATAGAGCTGAAGAATATTATACTAAGTGAACTAAGCCAGTCAGAGAAAGACAGATATATGATTTCACTTGTATGTGGAATCTAATGAATAAAATAAACTAACAAACAAAATAGAAACAGACTCTTAGATACAGAGAACAGAATGACAGTTGTCAGAAGGGAGTGGGATTGAGGGGCTGAGTGAAACAGGTGAAGGGATTAAGCAAAAAAAAAGAAAAAGAAAAAGAAAAAAATTCATAGACACAGCTAACAGTATGGTGATTACCAGAGGGAAAGGGGGTAGGGGGAGGTAGAAGAGGGTTAAGAGGGGTTAAATGGTGACAGAAAGAGACTTGACTTTGGGTGGTTAACACACAATACAATATACAGATGATGTATTATAGAGTCGTATTCTTGAAACCTATGTAATTTATTGGAATGACATTTATTAACTGTTATCCCGATAAATTTGATACAAAATTATAAAATATAAATTTAAAAGTTTTTGTTAGTCCTGATGCCTCAAAAAAAAAGAAGAAATGGAAGCAGAAGAAGAAAAGGAAGAAGGAGGAGGAGAAGGAAGAAAGGAGAAAGAGGAGGAGGAAGAAGGAAGAAGAAGCAGCTATTGTCCATCTGGAAAAAGCTGACCCAATTCCAGATCTCCTACCATTGACCCTGTTTACCCCTCGAAGGAAACTGCCTGAGAGACAAAAGAATAAATGAAAGCACATATCAGCCACCATTAACATAGTAAACACAGCCATCAATACAGCCTATATAGGCAAAAATACAATTAATCTATTTTACGTCATGACAAAGCTTTAGAAAATATAGCTAAGAAAGAGAGGAAGAGAGCAGACTATATAAATATATATCAAATGACTATATAAATATATGCAATCTGTCCAGAGGGTATCCAGCCACTATGAAAAATAGAGACATTTATTGAAGAAGATATAAGATACAAGAAACATTGCACATGGGATAATGGCACCTTAGTCCCCTTCAAAGGAGGCACCTTGGGACCTCACACAGTTCTCCCAATCACCATCAGCTGCCCCATCATATTTTTCTTAATCTCATTGACAGTCTGAAATCTCTTCCCTTTCAAAGGTGATTTTAGTTTTGGGAAAAGCCAGAAGTCACAGGACACCAAATCTGTGCTGTAGGGGGGCTGAATTACCTGGGTGATCTCGTATTTCACAAAAAAACTCTGCCTGAGACATGATGTATAAGCAGATGCATTATTCTGATGAAGCTGCCCATCACCAGTTGTCCATAGCTGCAGCCTTCTGAATCATCTGAACAGTCTCCAGGGAAGAATGTTCAAGCTTAATACAAAATCTGATGCGGATTCATTGCCCTACTAGCAGTCATTTTGAATGTGGCAGCCACACAGTACACATGCTCACTCAACAGTGCCTACCGTCCCCACTGACTAGTACAGTGAAGTCATCATTGTTCAGCATGCACACTGCAGACCGCTCTCCTTGGCTGCCACGTTACACCAATGTCACGCAAACTGTTCTGGTTATAGAAACAAAGGTTGGACTTTTTCCAGACATGCCTTGTATATTAAGATTGTTTATATGTAAAATGTTATACTAGAATCATTTTCACTTATCAATATATACATCAATGTAGTCATTTTGAATTGATATATCATACTCAATTTTATAGACATAACTTTTCAATCAATTCCCTGGTTTTGGATATCCAAATTTTATTTTTTATTGTTGTTATTTCCTGGGTGTATTGGGAGCCCTACTTCAATACTAACTTAGCAATAGAGAAGCATCAAGACAGATGGAAATGAAATAGCCTTATTTTTGTGAAAGTTGGATGGAGGACATGGATCAGGTGTGCAGCCCAATGGGATTCCTAACATGGCAGCTAGAATTAAACAGAATTCCTGAAACAGGCACAGGCAGAGAGAAAACTACAGGCTTCCCAGTGGCGGGAGGCCTTCCGCACAAAAGTTCCACTTAGCCTGAAGCCAATGAGAGCACATGCTCTCTGCAGGCAGACAGATCCCAAAGCGGGAGAATGGAGGCAGCAGAGTCCTGCCTCCTCAGCCAAACAAGTTACTCCTTTTCCCATGGAGGAGAGTGGGTGTTGGGAAAGGGTCTAGAAGTATCACAGGAGTGGCTGTCCTTCCACAGAGGAATCAGGCAAAAGAAAGTTACCCACCCCAATGTCACTTGAAAAACAATGCTGCAGTGAATATGCTTACATTTACACCTTTGTGCAAGTGTCCTATTTTTTTCTTAGAACAGATTTCTGTAAGTGGGATTTCTAAGTCAAAGCTAAAAGCATTTCTATCAAATTGTAGAGAAAAACTGTACAGATTTACACTCCCAACAGCAAGGGGTGAAAGTGTCCACTTCTTCACACCCTTTGCTATTGTGACAGATTAAAATGCTATCACTATTTTGCATTTTTTTTTTACTAGTGAGGTTAAATTTTTTTTGCATATTTATTGACCGTTTTATTTCCTCTTTTCTGACTCCCTTGATATGCTTTTTGCTAATTCCTCTAGTGAGGTTTTCATCATGTTGTTATGTATTTGTAAGATGAAAAAAATTTTAAGCAAGTCATTCTTCTTAATCTTAGAATTGTGATGCATTGAGTGGTTGTTAGAATCATAAGCATGATACTGATGTTGAGAGTGATTATTTCCATATTTATTACAACTTTTACTTATAACAAAGCAAGAATCTATTTGAAAAAATAGACAGGTTTTCAGAAAAGGTCAATATCTATAGCCCACAGAGTGCTTAGATTTAATCTCTTGATATTAAGTATGCACTGGCATTTTTATTCCACATTTTAAGAAATTTGATTATTGCTCTAAAACTTTTGAATATAAAAAAATCCTTACAGATGTACTTTATTTCAAACATATTCAGCACATGGGAAGCTGAAATTTTGGAGAAAAAAATCAGAGTAATTACTTGTTCTCTCTATTAAAAGATGTCTAGAAACTTCCGATATAAACTATTGGCTGAGAGAAGGTGTACTGTTAGAATGATTGAACTCATACAGACATTACAGAATTAACAGATAGTTCCCAGGATACTGTTCCAGAATTTGCCAAAAATAATAAATTTATTATTTTTAGGTATCACAATTGACCACTGACAAACAGAATACTCTTTAAAGAATTTAAAATTTAATAGTATTTTTGTAAGAGGTCTTAAAGTAATGGATATTGAATAAATGCTAGTGAACTGTGCCTGGACCAAAACGTCTATAGTCATTCTTCTTTTTTTTTTTTTTTTCCCATAAGTGAGATTTTATTAGTTGTTTTGAGGATAAGTACACAGACATTTCAATTTGTACACAATTCTTAACATACGTACCAAAAATGTAAATTCATGTAGTTGTGATTCTTTTCTGAAGTTATTCCAGTGACTTTCCAGCTTAAAATTTGGGGAATAATTTTCTTAATATAGTATCAAGTACCAATACCTGCAAATGTTGATATGCTGTTACGTATCAACAAGTCCGACTAATTCACAATTTAATATCATATATACTACATAATCGAAATTTTCAATCTTTCACAGCACATTAACAAAGTTACTAGAAAAACTGGATTACCACAACATAGATGTTACAGAGTGCACAAAATTCTGACAGGGAGAGCCAAGATCAAGGAGTGGTTTTCTTTAGGAAACAACTCTACCAAAAATATGAGAATCGAAGTAATTTAAAATGTTCAAGACATAGTAAATGCACGACTGACTCCAAATTGCCATTTAGTATGCTTTGTATTATAGGATATAAAAACTACCCCCATCTATGGAATGTTAAGCTGACACCCAAGACAACCAAAGCCTCCCATATTCAATATCCCACTATTTTCTGGTTGTACCAAAAAATAAACAACCAGCAAATGATTTCACCTCTTTAAAAAAATCATTTACACAAAAAAAAATGGGATGAGGTGGAATTCCCTCCTTCTTAAAAATGTTTCTAGAGCTACTAAAAAACTTGCATTTACAAAATAGTTGATAAAAATATTCCTCTGGATTGTACAAGAAGGGAGACAGGGACCACTGATAAGACATGATATATGATATTAATCAGACTTGGCTTCTTTATCTCCTGCTTCATCTGAGGCTGGACTCTCCTCGTTTTTAGACTCCCCGTTTTCCGCAGGTAGATCTTCCTTAGGTTCTTGGTTAGCCACTTCAGCCTGTTTTCCCTTTGCTCCCCTTTTCCCTTTTGTTTGTACTTTTTTGTCTGCAGATTTATCCTCTCCTACCGCCTTTTTTGGCTTGGTTTCCTCTTTCGCAGGAGCAGGTTTAGCTGACAACCTCGCAGATCTCCTCTTGGGCTCCTCCTTCGCCGCCCCCTCGGCGGAGTTGACCTTCCTCTTGGGCGTCGTGGCGGCGGGGCCGGCGCGTGCAGGGTGCCTAAGGGCCGCGGCGCGGAGCATCTTTGCAAATCTGGGCTGTCTGGCCGCTACCTCTTCTCCCGCCGCCCAAACTGCTCGGACCCGCGATGAGGGCGGTGGGAGAACCGGATCTATAGTCATTCTTCTTAAGAAAATTTCTCTTCTTAGCAGAAGCATGTACACCTTAAAATCTACCAAAGCACTAAATTTTCAAACCCCTACTAATATGCATTATCCCAGAGTCTTCTCTCTGTCATCTTACTATTTCTCCATAGAGTATAACAATGCCTATTGGAGCCCTCGTCATGCATCACCATTTATCAATTCAATAAACTTTTTTTTCAGCAAACATTTTTAAGAACTTACTAACAAATATTCTTAAGAACTGAGTCTGGCTCAGCTGGTTGGGTGTCTTCGCATAAACCAAAAGGTCATGGGTTCGATCTTAATCGGTTAAGTCAGGGCACATGCCTTAATCGATCAATGTTTCTCCCTTTGCTCCCTTTTCTCCCTTTTCTTCTCCCTCCCTTTATCCTCTCTCTAAAAATAGATAAATATTTTCTTTAAAAAAAAAAAAAGAACTTAGTCTGTGCTACATTAGGAGCTCAGATTACAAAGACAAGTAAAACAGTTCCTACTCTCAAGAAAAACATGGTGTAGAGTTCATGGTCTAGCAGGTGAAATAGTTAGTCTATAGTTTACATAGCGGGGGAGATAGGTAGATAACAAGAAAATTAGAACTCACTGTCACATAATCAAGCACTGAATGCTACGACAACCCAAGGGAGCAGCCACTAATTGAGACTGAGGGAATCAGAAAAGGATTCCAAGAGGAGGTGAAGAGTCACTGAGTCCTAGAGAATGAGCAGGGTCTAACCAGGAAAAAGAGGGTAATTCAGGCATGTGTAAAGGCACAGAGGCAGAATGGGTCATGACGTGGAGACTTACTACAAGGAGTTCTATTAGGCTAACGCATACATAGAGTTAGGGTGGGGATGGACAATGGTGAAAGACTGCACTAGAGAAGGAACAATAATAACGTTTCAAATTTTATTACTGAAAATTTAGCATATGTTAGTGATTACACTAAGTCCTTGATATCCGAGTGTATGCTGACAAAAAAATTGAAGGGGAAAGAACTATTCTTACCCTCCTCCTCCAATTCACAGTTAAAGAAACAGAGCCCAGTGAGATTAAATAACTTGCCCAACATCTTATATTTTGCAAGTGGCTAAGATACATTCCAAGTACAAGTTCTGAACGCAGAGCTCAGGCTCGTCTGCTAATCATGAATGGATCTTTATGCTCCACTAAGTAATTTAAACGTCACCTTCAAGAGCATGGGAGGCCAAGAAGAATTTGAGGCAAGAGAATGACATGGTCAGTTTTGCCCTTTAAAAGTATGGCCCAAGTTACTGGGAGAAAGAAGTGAGGCTAGATGTGAGTGGGAACCCTGCAGTTGTACAGTGGTCAACCTGCACGGCCATATTTAATGCAACTGCACTTCGGAGGGGATTACAGTAATCCAGATGTAAAATGTATGAAGGGTGGAACTAAATAAAGAAGGGCAGTGACGCAGAAGAGAAAGGGTCCTAATGCAGGGCTCTTAATGATGTGGAATAACTGGGGTTGATGGTTGGTTGGATAACAATGATGTCGCAGAGGGAGCAGTCAAAAGGAAACTGGGTTTTTTTGTCAGTATCAGTAAATTGGAACTACATTTTATTTATTTATTTACTTATTCATTCATTCATTTTTTATCCTCACCCAAGGACATTTTTTCATTGCTTTTAGACAGAGAGGAAGGGAGAGAGAGAAACATTGACGCAAGATCGGCTGCCTCCTGAAAGTTCCCAGACCAGCAATCTAACCCACAACCTAGGTATGTACCCTGACTGGGAATCAAACCTGCAACCTTTTGCTTAGAGGATGATGCTCCAACCAACTGAGCCACATCAGCCAGGGCAAGACTACATTTTAGAATCATCCATCTTGTTCAGTTCTGGGTTAAACTAAGCCAAAACTTGTGTAAGAATTGGAAAGTGACATCAAGCAGCAGCCAATATGCTCTGAAGGTTGTTGTGGTTAGAGGTGAGGAAAGCCAGATGCAGAGATGCCAGCAGGTGCCAGTCTGTCCTGGCTCTTCCCCCCTCTGCCCCTTCTTCTCTTCCAGCTCTTCTTCCCCTATGCCCACCCTGCTGACCTGCAGCAGCCCACCATCAGGTGCCTGACAGCAAACCCACAGGTAAGAGCTAGCACCAGGTGGCAGCCTTCCATGGGCGTCAGCACCAGCCCCTTCTGTGGCTCCTCTCAGCAGATTCCCCTGGAGCGCTCACTTAATTGATGCCGGTGCTTCAGGACAGTCACTTAACGACTGCCCTGATCTGCCAACTCTCATCCCGGACCCCCTACTTCTGCTTCAGTTTTTGATCTCAGCATGGTTTTTTGTAGCAATTGAAAAGATGAGTCTAAAATTTACCTAGAACTTCAAAGGTTCTATTATAGTCAAAGAGTTTTAAAAAGAACAGAATTGGAAGACCTGCACCATTTGATGTCAAGACTTATTATAAAGGAATCTATAACAGAGCTGTAAAGAAGGACACCCAAATTATAGAGGGGCAAAATATTTGGAAGAATTGTTGCCTGAGATACCTGGGAAAGCAGACCACATGCCTATTGAGTCTCTAACTCGGGGAGAAATGGTTGTCCGCCGGAGAATAACGGCGGGCTCGCTTTTACTTTGTTTCAGGTGAGGTATTACAGGAGATGAGCTCAGGAAATAATTGGCTACTTTGCAAGCAGAGATTGAGGATCCAGAAATTGGGGGCCCAACTCAGAAAACTGTACAAACGCTATGCACTGAAATGACTGGGAGAACAGCCTTGTCTTTTTTTCTGGAAATGTTCATATCCAGGTAAACTCCATGCCCAAAAGACGTGCTGAAAATCTAAGCTCAAGAAATACCTGGAATTTCTTTGGAATTGGGCTTCTAACAACTAATATTTATGGAGGTGGAGGGGAAGGCACTGTAAGCCAGACTTTTCTAAGAGACAGGTAGGTACTCAAAGATTTGGTATGCTTGGTTACTGGTGTCCTTGGTAGGACCTTCTGCTCTCTTTAATTCTGTCACTTTATTATAGCTTAATCTTCTTAAGCCCTACTTGGGATCATTCAAAATTCTAGGAAACACTTTAGATTGTTGGACTTAGACTTAATTCTGAAAATTCTTTTCATAGGTGCAAAATGCTTTATTTTATTGGTGTCTTCTTTCCCAGTGCCTTTTAAATCCATGAGTTGCTACTATATGTTCTTGGAAGAATTATGTCAATGTTACTGAATTCTGTTCCCATATCAATTTGACTTCATTCACTTATTGGCTATGGCGAGTTTGCTGGTATAACTAGATAGATTCTTGGGATATTACTGGCTTTGTTCTACCTTATTTTAAAGTTTTTGGATATCTGAGAACTTTCAGACAGGTTTTGTGAATATTTTTTACACAGCCACATTTTGTACTGACTTGTTCAGATGTAGATGATATTTGTTCCATACGCTGAGCTGAATGTCAGCTTTTTCCTCCCATCTGTCAGCCTATATTTTCCAAAGAATGTATTACCTTATGGTATTACAGTCCATGTCTCATGTGCAAAACTATGATTTCAGACCATATAAATATTTAAAATGGGAAGAGGGGCTACTTCATTACACCTTCAAATATAAATCAATCTTTGGGTTACAATGACTATTGCTGAAGGCATTAGGGTAGACTGCAGTGCTAAAAATTAAGGAAAATCTTTTCCAAATGTTTTTGAATACTAGAATAAGATTTAGGTATGTATTTCAACTTTTTAAATTAAATGAGTGAAAGAAAACAGTGCTTTTAAAAATAAGTTGTATTCAACCTAATGTATATGTGAACATTTTTCTCCCCTAATTACTTGACAGATAATTGCAGTATAAAATTATAAATGTGTTTTCTTATTAATGATACCAAAAGCAGCAACTATATATGGTGCTACTAAGATTCTTCCTGTGAAATCCTCCCTGATTCCAGTGGGATGGGCTTTCTACCTCCTCTGAAGTCCATCATCTCTCTTTGTCACTCAGGCAGTTACCACTCTGCCTTGCATCACAGCTATTTTCTGGCTTGCTGGTCTCGCCTGATCTCCACTCTAAACTGCAATCCCGCCCCTTGGGGATGCTGACTCTGTGCACACCGGTAGCCATTGCACTTCTTGGTCCAGACCTTAACTGTTGGGTAGCATATGATGTTTTCTCATAGAAGGATGGCAATTTTGTAAGAGGATTCGTGATAATTAACAAGAAAAATAAAAATAGTGCTTAGTTGTATTGCAAAAATTAAGACTGTCCAGTGGGCCAATATTTTAGCTTACTGATTAGAAGAAATTAAAATCCAATTTCTCCAAGTTTTCTTTACTGCAAAACTATTTTTATAGAAGAAACTCAATTAAATTTGAAAATGTCATATCAGTGTTTTCTCTTAAACAATCCAGTGAGAAGAAAATGGGCAGTTTTTTCCCTTTCTAATATCAGTACCATTAGCAAATGGTATCAACATTAGGGATGTACCATTAGCAGGTGAGTGGGGAGGAAATATTGATTTTCTATAGTGTTCCCACACTGGTGATAAGAGAACTGGAAGCTAAAACATGGTGACAAATCACTATTCAGTATGAAATGATCAAAGTCAAAAGTAGGAAAGATCCATGTCAACAAAATGTTGAATTATACTGAATGTGTTCACTAAAATCTGGAATATAATAAAAGAGATACATGCTTAAAGTTTAAGTGAGGACAAATTTAGGGTAAATAGAAATATATACAGGTTTTTAAAGGGGTAGACTTTAGGTAATCATTAACTTAAGAGACAAATGCAGATAAGAATAAAAATATAAATAAACAATGGATAATATCTCCATAAGTTTATTGATAGTAGAGAGATTTTTGTGGAAGTAGTCACCAACTAGATTCTGGGGTTCTTCGGCCACTGTAATTATTATAAGGAGATGCTGAATACATATACACAGCAAACCTTGTATGTGGAGTATACAAATGATACATATGTACTCCTATTTGATGTAAATACAGATGATTTATTGATGAGCAACAAAATATTCAGT